GGTAGCTCCATCAAGTATTCTAACAACTTATCATGGAGTTTGAGCAGAGAATGGACCACATCCTAAATAAATGAAAAGGGTAAAAAGCAAGATACTTACACATCCCTATAAACACTAATCTATATAACAACCGCTAAAATGGACCATGAGTGTGATACTTACTCTCTCAGTCTCTCTTCATCGACTTTATCTTTATTCGCATCGTCTTCATCAACCCCACACGCATCTTCACTCACCTAAAAGGCACACATATGGTAAGCACAGCAAAGACCACTGTTGAGTTCAAACATTATGTTATATACCTCGCTATTCAGCCCCATCAAACATCCCACCATCTCCTCAATCATCTGTTCCTCTGTATTTTGCTAAAACATAAGATATATTAGAATATAAAGAATATAAGTGCAAATATAACCTTCCTATAATTTACCTCATTATCCTCCCCCACGGCAACTGCCATAACCTCTTCGTTTCCCCCCACCTAAAGATATAAGAAAAAATATTAAGAATAAGAAATATAATACGGCCTGTGAGAATCTAATACGTGTGAATTATACCTCATTGACTCGTTCATCAATTTGACGAAAAACGTCAGAGACTTGGTCTAGCAACAATCCATAGCTTTCTTGGCTGACCTCAACCAAATATTCCACGAATTCTTGGATCATTTCACTTGTACTGCCAGACGAGACGAAGCATTTGGGTTGATCATAACCAGGGACGTTGGAGCGAACAGAGACACTCAACGGGATATGTTGTGCTTCCCACGTTAACTTTGCTGTATTTCTTGATTGTTCGGTTTCGCGTTTGAAGTAACATTCAAAGTCAAAGGTGGCACGATAAGATAAGTACTTGAGGTCTTCAGGGATCTCGATACCTTCATCGGCCAACAAATCGACGATGGTTCGTGGAACTTTATAGGCGCCACCAGGGAAAACATGTCGTACAGTCGCTTCACAGCTTTTGTCGTGTTGGTTTAAGGATTTGGCCGTTTTCGACATTTTGTCACATTTGGAACAGCAGTAAGACTTGGAGTACATGGCCAAATTATTAATATAGCTGAAGTGGCTGCCGTAAAGGTTCAGGTACATCGAATTGCCGTAGCTACGGTGGGAGCGTTGTATGAGTTGAGCCGCACTGGAGGTCGTATCGTCACCTTCGTCATGTAGCTCTGTAAGGCGATACAGGTAAATGTTCAACTCGAATAACTTTTCCAACTCTGGGAGCTCTTCGAATGTCACGCCGTCAAAATTGTCATCTTCCGAATATTGTTCATAAAAATGGTGAGAATCACGTTCTATGTTATGGGGATGACAACCACGGTGTAGGGGCCAAACAACGAAAGAAGCATAGTTTGTCTTCGTATGGTAAGCCAGTATTATCATCACAATCCTACAACCTCTTAAGCAAGTGATTACGAGCAATGCAGACTGCAAGCAGTAACGATGCCCTCATGTCACCAACTTGGAAACTGTGACAGTGAATTATGTCCGCACCAGGCATCCCGTTAACGGAAGTTTTGTGCGTCGTCTGAAATTGACAGGAAATACCGAAGGAACTGGAGGGTGTGCAGTGGAATAACTTATAAAACTATTCCAGTGGTCGATAAGTGTTTCATTATATACCAATTCGTGTCAAAGAAGACAAAACAATAGAAAGAAACGGAGAACCTTGCACACGAGGAGACAGGCATTTGAATTTCGTGACTTCTACGTCATACGCTTTCGTCCAATGAGATGCAAGAACACATGACATTTAGCGATATATATTGAAGCCTTTCGTACTGTTACCAACCGAGAGCTGCGACGGTATAATGGTTAATACATTGCGCCTCATGGTGCAACTGTCCAGGTTCGAGTCCTGGTTGTGGCTTGGTTTTTATTCCCTCGCTTTCCGTGCTTCTTAAAATGACTCTTTCCATTTTTCGTCCTTCGGATATCTTCCGCGTAACTACTTGCGTGCGTGATCCGGACGAAATTGAAATTCCAACATATTAAAAGAAACATATACATTTTCGAAGAGCCTAATTGCAAACTAAGCCAGTTGAGCCATGCACAAATTATGCCTGCAACGCCCGGGAATTTGTAGGTGTCAGCTGAACCGAGAAATCATGGTTGAAAATCAAGCTATCCTATTCCATACAAGTAAGGAAGGGCCTTTGCTCAATTTTGTTTCTACATTTTTAGGCAGCTGCGGCGCACGTCGCGTGAATACTGTTGGGAAAATGTAGCTTGCGCTTTTTCCTAGTTTTCATGAGCGTGAAAATCGCTCCGGAAAGATGGTATCCGCCGCGCAGCCGTATTGTGCAAACGGCTATAGCAAACTCTTTTGAAATTGGCAACAGTTTCGTTATTTGCGTCGCGTGTAAATTACCTATAATGCGATACGTGGTGTTTGCAACATGTTTGCATCGCGTGTAAAGTAAGCCCAAGGACCAATTAAGCTTATCGAGGATTAGTGAGCAATCAGTTTGACGATTTGTCCAACCCTTTTGCATGGTATATACACGGGCAATAGGACAGGTGTAGTGTTGTTAAATATAAAGTTAGAAATGGTATTATACTTACTCATGCATTATAATTTGTTTAAAAGATCAGAATATTCATACCTTCTTATTTTGTTTCATAAATAGTTCTTTAATATTCGAAACAAATTCCATATCTGCTTCGTCTGCCATCGCCATGTTTACTCGTCCCAATCTACATGCTGCACGGCATTGCCGCCCCTCCTGGCAAAATAATAAGCAAGCGAGAAAAATTGAGGAGAAATAAGAGGGTAGGAACATCGTTGTCATAAGCTGGATGCAGTGACACTTCCATATATGGCACAAACGTATCCATAACTTCCATATATGGCACAAACGTATCCACGACGCGTTTTATAACGTTTTATTTGACGTAGGGATGACGTGTAATGCTGCTTCCCGCCAATGACGATTTGAATTAGTCATGTGATACAAGATTGAGAAAGCTGATTCGCCCAGAGCGATGAAACGCCCACGAAACGCCCACAGTGTTCCTACCCTCTTATTTTCTCCTTAATTTTTCTCGCTTGCTTATTATCTTGCCAGGAGGGGCGGCAATGCCGTGCAGCATGTAGATTGGGACGAGTAAACATGGCGATGGCAGACGAAGCAGATATGGAATTTGTTTCGAATATTAAAGAACTATTTATGAAACAAAATAAGAAGGTATGAATATTCTGATCTTTTAAACAAATTATAATGCATGAGTAAGTATAATACCATTTCTAACTTTATATTTAACAACACTACACCTGTCCTATTGCCCGTGGTATATACATTGCGGCAAGAAAGGACGAGCACGGTTCCTAACCAGGTGATTACGCTGCATTTGAACATAAAACAATGGCACAAAACACCAACTTTCGTATCAAAATCGAATCTCTCCAGCACTATTCGCAGCCGAGAAATGTCGAATTTCCTTCAACTGGAAACACCATGGTAAAATCGGACAAAGATCTCCCCCCCACATTTCAACTGTTTACAAATTATACTAAGACTAATTCTGGGTCGAAATCATGCAGCCAAACTTAACCTAGGCGGGAGACTCAGCATGTATTTCATGAAAATGCCCAACTAGATTTTTGGAAAAATGTCCTGCTCACGTATATAAACCTAAGTTCGACGAGCTTCCATGCAACTGTGACCTCTGCCATTTTGGTCCGATCCGCATATTTGCGTCTTTCGTTAGTATATGGTACATGATCGATCCTGGCCGAGACGGACATCGGGTAATGATACCTCGAGTGAAAGTGTCAAGAGGATTAACGAATGGAGGTATGATATAAGGAAGCGTTGGTCCTCTACATATATATATATATATATATATATATATATATATATATATATATATATATATATATATATATATATATATATATATATATATATACACTCTAAAAACATCCTGGTTAAATTTAACCAATATGGGGTTAAATTTTAACCAGGAAAGTATTCCATATGGGACCGACGCAGTCCTGGTTATATTAACCAGGAAATCCTGGTTCCATTGATTAACCAGTTATTCCTGGTTAATTTAACCAGGAAACATCCTAGTTAAATTTAACCAATATGGGGTTAAATTTTAACCAGGAAAGTATTCCATATGGGACCGACGCAGTCCTGGTTATATTAACCAGGAAATCCTGGTTCCATTGATTAACCAGTTATTCCTGGTTAATTTAACCAGGAATTACTGCTAAAATTTTGACTTGTATCCCAGTTAAATTTAACTTGTTAACGGATCAAATTTATAATCTGATGTTCCTTGCTTCTTTGACATGTTTTTCAACACAAAATTCGTACTGAACAGGGTTTATTTTTAGAAAAATTCACATAATATTGTTAAGTACTAAATTAACTAAATAATTGTCTTGTTTTTAATTTAAATCAAGGATCACGCAAGAGGTTATTGTAGCTAATATAAAAATATTTTCAAAACCCTCTTATATGATCCTTGATTTAAATTAAAAACAAAACAATTATTTAATATGAACAGAGGTGAAAGTTTCAGAAAAACAATTAAATTAACTAATTTAACTATTGGAAGGTTTTTGTAGTTTTAACACTGCATGATCGCCAACAAAGCCATTTACTTTAAAGCTGCTCTCATTGCAACAACAGCTGGGGTTGTCTTTCCTTTCACCTTATCTTCGATGCCATAGAGAACTTTTTGTATGAATTCCCACGACGAAGAGCATTGCCAAGGATAATTAATATCCAGGATGTAAAATACTTTAAAACAAACATCAATTGCCTTCGTAAGATTAGGCTGCTCCAAGCCCTGGCCTTCGATGATAACAAAAACTTGTGTTGGGTTGTAGCGATTACCGATTGCCAAAACAAACGGGCATCTTGGAGCTTCTTCTAAATATTTTGGCATGTTTGTACCAACCTAAATATGAGAAATATTTTAGACCTTTATACGCAATGTTCCGAGTTATCATACTTTAAATGACATATGATAATGCATACCGGTTGGCAATCGATAAAAGCACTCAAAGCTTCATCAATTGTACATCGTTTTCTATTCTTTCTTCCAGTTGGGAACACGCATGGAAGAAGACCAATTGCTGCATTTTTTCTCTCTTCATCTATAAAGTTTATTTTGAACCACTGCTTTCAATTTGAAAACTGAATTTAGACCTTTGATGCGAAACCATTTCCTATACTAGCTAGTTATTATACTTTTCTTACCAGATTTCAAATTCCTTGGAATCATGTGCAAGTACATTGTCCACTTCTCTGCTTGTGTGTCTGCATACGAAATAATCTTCTCCACAATTGGTGGTGTCAATCGCAGAAAGAGGTTCTCTGCAACATCTGCGTATAGTGTTCTAAAGTCTATTTCCACCTAAAATATTAGTAATAAAAACGAATTTGTATAAATAATGTATATACATAATTCCAGGAATGTTTCAAAATTTTACAGTACCATGCCAGGGGTATCGAAAAGACGTGGGTATTCCTTCATAACTTCTCGCATTGGAAGGTCTGGGGTTTTCCTTATCCATTCTGCTCGGTTTAAAACCGTTTTTTCCATATAGTTCTTTAAAGTTGATAAAGGTTCTAAGTTTGCTTTCATCCACTCCTTCATCCCATTATGGTCTGATTCATTCAAAACAGGATCTATTCGAAAACAGATGAAGACACAATTTAATATATCCATCATGGAAATTAACCCCAAATAGGATAATTTTAAATGAACGAAATCAACCTGGTAAAGATGTTGTCAGGTGTGTTAATGAGGTTGAAGCTGTATTCAGATCTTTTTCAGTTGGACGGTGTTTAACACTCTTTCTCCTTACATTTCGGAGTCGTTCTTCCAACCATCCTGTAGCAGAATGAATTCCCTTTCCTGATGTGTACCACGCTTCCTATATTCAAAGAAATACAGTTAATTATTATGTTCCACTTTATAACCTGATGATGGCGTCAAGACGGACTCCGTTAAGACACTCTCGATTCGACATTACACATTCAGGGGCCAGTTGTATCAAGCCCGGATAGCGCTATCCACCGG